TACTTACTTACTTACTTACTTACTTACTTACTTACTTACTTACTTACTTACTTACTTACTTACTTACTTACTTACTTACTTACTTACTTACTTACTTACTTACTTACTTACTTACTTACTTACTTACTTACTTACTTACTTACTTACTTACTTACTTACTTACTTTATATACTCAAGTATTAGTCTAGCTTTTCAGCACAATTTTTTTTTGCTGAAAAAGCACCCCCCCGGCTTATACTCGAGTCAGTGTCAAAATTACATGTTCTCCCCTGTAGTGCAGGTGTTCTCCGGACTCCCCCGCTCATCTACGGGCAGCTGCAGCCTCTATGAGTGGCCCAATGACCCGGGTTAAGTACACTGCATTTCCACTTCTAGGACACTCCCACCCTCCTCTTTCTGCATATTCTATGTACCCACCTTCTTCCTCCATCCTCCGTCTCCCTCCATCTTGTTACGCAGCAGTAAAGCAGCAGATAAGCGCAGCATCCGGTATGAGTCTTCCCTCTGCAGGCGGTGAAGTGTGTCTCGCAGCTCATCAAAATCATTTAACTTACTGATGCCTCAATTAATGTGATTTCATTGGCATCTATTTTTATTTTTGAAATTTTCCAGTAGCTGCTGCATTTTCCACCCTCGGCTTATACTTGAGTCAATACGTTTTCCCAGGTTTTTGTTTTTGTTTTGTTTTTTTCAAATTGGGTGCCTGGGCTTATATTCGGGTTGGCTTATACAGTACTTAAATTTTTTTTGCCCTGCCTTTCTCCTTGAAAAGGGATCCAAGACAGCTTACAACAATGAAAGACAATATTTGAAGTTGAAAACCATGAGTCTACAACAGTGATTAACATCATTAAAAACAATATATAAAAACTACTTACAACAATGAAAGACAATATTTGAAGTTGAAAACAATAAGTATACGACGGTGATTAGCATCATTAAAAACAATATATAAAAACTATGTTCAATGAAGGAGGAGACATCTTACATCATGAACAGGCAGTATTAAGGCAAAGATCAATACGTATACAAAAAAAATTTTAAGTCCACTTTGAGAGATGGAAAACACAAAAATGGAAAACACGAAAGACAATATTTGAAGTTGAAAACAATAAGTATACGACGGTGATTAGCATCATTAAAAACAATATATAAAAACTATGTTCAATGAAGGAGGAGACATCTTACATCATGAACAGGCAGTATTAAGGCAAAGATCAATACGTATACAAAAAAAATTTTAAGTCCACTTTGAGAGATGGAAAACACAAAAATGGAAAACACAAATAGTACTAAAAATCCAGTAAAAGCAGAAATGCATAATAATCTATCTAAAAACCATGCACAGGTAACTGGTCTTATGGAGGGAAGGCTTGCCTGCTTGTGGAAGGACAGCAAAGACAGGGCCAGACTGGCCTCCAGTGGGAGGGAGTTCCAGAGTCTGGGAGCAGCCACAGAGGAAGGCCCTCTCCCATGTCCCCAACAAGCGCAGCTGTGAAGGTGGCGGGACTGAGAGAACAGTCCCCATGTGAAGGTGGTGGGACTGAGAGAACAGCCCCTCCACATCATCTTAACAGGCTCATCAAGGGATGGTCCTTGGGATAGCTTGGACCCACATCGTTTTGGACTTTCTAGGTCAGAACCAGCACTCAGAATTCTGCCTGGAAATGGACTGGCTGCCCGTGGGTCTGCTGTAACAGGTGTTTGTGTGTGTGATGTGATCCCCCTGGTGTCCAGTCCCAGTTCTCTGTCTGGCTACTATGTTTTGGACCTGCTGAAGTTTCTTGACCCTTTCCATCGGCAGCCCCACACAGAGTGTGTTACAGTAGTCCAGCCATCTGGCCAGCGCCACCGTGGCCAAATCAGACCTTTCCAGGAACGGGTGCAGCTGGCGCCCTCGCTTTACGTGTGCAAAGGCACTGCTGGCCACTGCCAAAATCTGAGCATCCAGGCTCAGAGGCAAACCCAGGAGCACCTGCAAGCTGCACCCTTGTGTTTTCAGAAGGGAGAAAATAATAAATCCTAAACTTTCCTACCTCTGGCCAGTGGTTGGTCTTCCACAACTCCTTTGCGCCCATCTCAACGAGAGTGATCCATTCTGTTACACTATTGATTCTCGACCCTTCCGCTTTGGAGGAATAAGTGCTCTTAAATCCAGACATATAATAGAATGTCGCTTTCTAACCGTATGACTCTCAGCTTCCTTGGCACCCTGAAACACCCTTTCAATATTAAGCCATGGATGCAACAGGGGATAATGTAAATATTTTTTTTTAAACTTGGCCTGCCAATATTCCAACACCCTTGAAGTTAAGATTAGTATTCTGGCTTCCAATTAATGCATCTTAATTGCATGACCAAAATTCATCCTACCTGTAGTCCAGGGATGCAACAGGGGATAATGTAAATTTTTTTTTTTAAACTTGGCCTGCCAATATTCCAACACCCTTGAAGTTAAGATTAGTATTCTGGCTTCCAATTAATGCATCTTAATTGCAT